TTAAGAATCTAAAAGCTGTAAGGACTCTTAAAGAATATGAAATCCAACTTTCTCATTTTAAAACTAGTAGGAGTAGACATAATTGAAAGTAATTGAAAATTACATGGTTCTCGACATTTTCTGTCTGACTTATTTCACTTTGCATAATAATCTCAAGATCCATCCATGTTGTCATGAGGGTAAATGGGACCAAATATATGGTAGGAGAACTGATTCTGGGTGGTGAGCACACGATGTGATATATAGATGACGTATTACAGAATTGTACACCTGAAACCTATGTAACTTTACTAACCATTGTCACCCCAATAAACTTGAATAAAAAAAAGAAAGTAATTGAAAGTCCCCAAATATCAATGGATAATTGAGATAAAAGCTTAGTTCACATTCCTATCCAGGAGGACCTCGATATATACGAGAAACGGCATCTTCTAGTTTACGTTTCCACTCTCAAGGGCTCCAGGTCCCCAGTGAACCTTATGGTCTAAGAGGGTTGTTGAAGCTCCAGCTATTAAATAGGCAGGGCTGGCAAGAGAAGAGGCTTACAAGTCAGTCAGAGGCTAGGTCCTAGAAAATGGTGGAAACCATGCTGTGAGGCTTGGATATTATTTTGAAGGCATCAAAAAGGCATTTCAATATTAAGCAGAAGGAAGACAGGATTGGGTTTTTGTTTTAGCTAAATCACTTTGGCAAATCTTTGGATGGCTTAAAGAAACATGAAACAGAGGACAGGGCTGATACAGGAGCTAGGTAAAGGCAAAGGGGATGGATAAAACAGGAGGTGCATCAGTGGAGATAATGAACATGCCCACACCTCTGAGAAGGTAGATGAGGAGAAAAGATAGAGCTAATATGATAATGAAAAGATGACACAAGGTCAAGAGAATCTTGACTTCCTTCTGGCTGTGAGTGAGTAGGTAAGAGAAAATAGGTAGCCTTTTCTGTGGAATATCTACAGAAGAAGCAGTATCTTCAGGAGAGAAGCAGTTTCAGAGAAGAAAGGTGGAGAGAAGGCTTTGTGAAAAGATGGATCATGTAAGGTAAATGCTCACAACTGAAAAGGAGTCAGTTGGGTATGGTTGAAAATGGTTAGAGAGATCTAGACTAAGAAATAAAGCCTCATAAATGGTAAAATTATTAGAGAAAGGCAATTCTGGGAGCTTTTTGTTCCTCTGAGAAATCAAAAACAATGGAGGTAGGGAATATGGTTGTGGCCTGGTCTCAATATTTGGACTAGAACAGGCCCTTTTCTACACAGTGTTGGTTCAGGGGTCCAGGCAATTCCTGGTATAGTCTGAGAGGATAAGCCTGGTCCAGTTCTGTACACAAGGTGTGTGATAGCTGCAGAGGGCCATGATTAGTGCCAGAATGCTACCAGGTGCTCTGGACTCCCTTGGAAAAAGACAGGTATCTACTGCCCTTGTGGTATTTATGCAGATAGGGCAGTTGCCATGACCTAATTCTGGATGCCCATGACACAGCACTCAGTGGGAAGGAGCTCAGCGGGTTCTGCAGGATTTCTTGGTGAGCTCCTCAAGGTCTGGAGGAGCAGCTTCCTTACTCAACCCACTGACATTATTGCCATCACAATATTACTTATCACCTGCCACATCTTAATTTACAACTTTTTAAATTACATGTATGATATAAGAACCCTATCTTTTGTAAACCTTGGGCATTACCTTACTCACCAGTCACTTGATTATGGTTTTAAAAATTATGTAGAAATAAATGTGTTAACATCAGTGAATATTGAGGGTATATTTTTGGAAAAGCTCTTCTTTATTACCCAGCCCCATCTAAAGGCCCTGCTTATGTGTTCAAAGGGGCTCTCCACAATGGGGTGCTGTGGGGGGAGGGGAACTTGTGGGTCATCTCTGCTCAGATGCTTTTTCCCACCACTCTCCCTAACACAGACAATAGAAAGTGGACTGTGTTGTCAAACTTCAGAATTAGAGAAAGATAAGTGATGGATACAGAGCTACAAATAGACTCTAATGTAGGAAGAGAGTGAGTGAGAGTGAGAAAGGCAGAGAAAGATGATGGGGTACGGAGTGATTTACTTTACATAGGGAAGTCAAAAATGCTTTGAATAGTTGCCTTTGGGGATGGGTAAAGAATATGTAGAAGTCTGGAAGTGAGACAACTGGGTGGTTAGAGATACTGAAAGCAGCTTGTCACTTCAACATAGCAGCCAAAGGGGAAAGTGGCAAGAGAGCAGTGGAGATTCAACTACCAAATAGTGGGCTAAAATCACCTCGGATTTCTCATCACTATCTCTACAAAATAAAATTGGTAAAACTGAATTTAAATTATGTATATAACCAACTTATATATTTTTCCTTTTGTTAAAATAATTTCATAACACATTTGTAATATACTTGGATATCAATTCTTTGATGCCATATCCTAAACAGCTTCCAAATACCTTTATCCTAAAGCGTCTACATTAAATAAAACACTTTCATCAATTCAAAGTCCAAGTTATTTATCATGGCAAAATTCCAATTAATTGTAAGTCAAAGGCAAGATTGTTATGCACACAAAATTAAAGGGAACATTTATAGCATTAATAGTCACTTTTATGTACTTTTTTGGTATTTTTTTGCTTACAAAAGTATCCATCTCAAAGTTGTTTGAATTTTGGCAAGTTCTATGATCATTTCATGCACAGCAAAATCTGTGTACAGTACAAATTGAACACAGGGTTTTTTTGTTTGTTTATTTGTTTGCTTTTATTCCATTGTTGATTGATTTGATTTGAGGTAACTGTTCTGGCTTAATTGCTTACTCTGAATAAGCCCTTAGGGGAAAGCTATCCTGTGTCTACTCAACACAAGCAACTAAAAAGTACTAATAGAAAATTCAATTTACCTTGAAATGTGATTGACTGACTCTATTAGGACTATAGCTTGTTGCTAAAATCTGAAAATATTAAATTCAAAAGCTTTACAAGAATGTAAGGAACACTCTAAAATTTACCAATATGTTGACAAAACATGTCCCTAATAAATATCTTTCTTTCTCTGAGAAGGATTTGCAAGACCTTATAGGGAGGTTAACTCTGTAGCCCATTCTCTTAGAGAAGTGAGTTTCATATAACAATGCATTTGGAAATCTGCTAAAAGAATAGCATGAAAGAAAGGACCAGGAGAGAGGGAGGAATGGGAGGAGGGCACCTCACAATGTTTTCTTAGCAGGTTAAAGAATTTTTTGCCTGATAGAACAGATTTGATGCCTTTAATTTCAGTGTTCTTTGGTTATGTCCTTATTTCATTTTTTTCACTTTTAAAGGAATATGACTGATGGGTCCTAAGCCTGAAACCTGTGAATTAAGAACTGATTATTTCACCCATAGGTGTTCATCAAGCTCCCAGTGTATGATGTCTGCAGGGATGCCTGGACAGGCCCATCAATGTGCTCTCCACCAGTGGCGTACTGCTCCCCAAAACATACCAGCAGAAAGTCCCTTCAGAAAACCTAGTAGGAGGTTCTTAAAGACTTACCAGCAGAGACATATGGGGCCCACAGCTTCTCTTATTAACTACTGATAACCACTCTTTCAGCTCTGTGTCTTTTGAAACGAGCACTAGTAACAACCTCTATGAATTAAGTATTTGCTACAACTCTGTAATCTAAATACAAAATAACACTAGGGTTTCACAGGTGAGTATAATTAGAATATGACCATTTCTTTCCATTTGTTCTGTACAATCTCATTAGAATGTCACAACTGCTAGCTAGACAAGAGGACATAGAAGAATACTATTTAACCAGAAAACTGCTGGAAACTCATAATCACTATCATTTTACATTGCTTAACTGTTCTCAGGGAATTTGCTTTAGGATAATATAGTCACTGCCTTCACCAAGTATCCTTGACTATGGTTTCAAACAGCATCCCAATCCTTCATTCGACAAACAATTGAAACAAGGAAAGAAAATCAGTCCTCAATACTGGAACTATTTCATTCTGTATTTCCTCATGGTTGGCAATTGTTTTTCTGTTGCCCGTCTAATGATGACAATATGTATACTATAAAATAATTGGTATTCAAAGGCACTTCCCCTCTGAAGTTAAACAAGTAGATACATTAGAGAATATTGTAGGTTTTGTACTCCTGGTTGAGCTAACCCATTGTACTGCTGTCCTAATTCAAAGAGGGTGTTCAATCTGTGGTTAAAAAGAGCAGAAATTCCTCCCACGTTAAAGTTGTAAAAACTATCCTTTTTTGCAGTCACAGGACCTGTCTTTCAAATAAATAAACGATCAACTTTATTGGGATATTTTCCAGAAAAGCAAGATTGGGCTATACCCCATAACCAAGTGACAGTTGCCAGCCTGTCTATTTAGGAGGATATCTCTTTAACTAGTTTAAAAATTGCCAGTGGCTTTCCCCAGATTTCACTGACTGCCTCCACCCCTATCCCCAAGAATAAATGGAGTGGAGGAAAAAAACTTCCAAGTTCTTCTTGCTTACAGTAACATTACCCAAAACTTAAAGATATCTTGTTGCAGACTCCCTTCTGGTGTCATAGCAAAAGGACTGACAGCCAAGAGTAGCTCAGTCCGAATAGCAAGCTCCTCACCCTCCTGTACCTAATAAACCAATTGCCTGGATAGCTCCTCCAAGTTCCCCCAGATCTCCCTGAAGATCAAGCTCAAGCTTCCCTTGGTGTAACATTCACCACCCAAAACATCATTCACACAGCATGCACGACATATTTTTAGACCTTGATGATTCACAGTGCAGTCCATCAAAGGGGCCATGCAACCAAAAGACAGCAACGACTGAAACAACTCCAGCGTCAATCAGAACATAGTTCCGCAATGTGCACGGCCAGGACACTCCAAGGGGAATGCCCAGGAGCCAATAGGCGTCCAGCACTGGCGTTGCCATGGCCACGCAGTACGCTAGGGATACGCAAACACTCCGCGCACTCCTGGGAGCCAATCAACGGCCGGCTGAGGCGTTGCCGTGGCTGCTGTCTGTGTTAGGGCCGCGCACGCACCCAGCTGTGGGGACCCGGTTGGTTGCCCCAGGCCCAGGACTCGGGAAGGTCCGGGCCGTCGCGCGCCTCTAGACACCCGCCGCAGCCCAATTCACTGAGCGCCCGGCATGAATCGCAAGAAGCTGCAGAAGTTGACGGACACATTAGCTAAAAACTGCAAGCATTGTAAGTAAGAATCACGTGCGGGATGAGCGGAGGCTCCTGGCCCAGGCCTCTGGTGTCCTACCCGGTGACAATGTCCGTTGCTCAACCTGCCTCCCGCCTCCAAGCTTTACTGCCAGTGGAGCCCCCTCCACAGCCACCTCTAAAGGGAAGTCTGGGAAGAAATACCCAGGTGTTAGCTCCTTGGGGCGGACACCCACACCTGCCAATGATCTTAAGGACCCATATGCAGGTGACCAGGTATCTAGTAGTACACTTCCACAAATACATTTACTTGCTTATCAAGCTCGCTTCTTAATTTACCTTTACATTATAGAAACGTGATTTATGTACCCAGGAGACACATGTGGTTTTAGCCCTAGACACAGATGTAAAGTAAGTACTAAAAACCACGGACTCAAGAAAAGTAGCACAACCAACATACAGCTGCTTTCTTGCTCTCTAGAGCAAATAAACTGGCAGAGTACAAGTTCTGGAGACCTACCAAGGAATACACAGGGGAAATGGTTATCAACATCTGAACATCTTTAGGAAAGAAACCTATATCAGAGCAAGGAGACTAGTTTGGAAACCAAAGAGCTCCCCGAAGCTAAACACGTGGTAAAGAATCTGTTCCTAACTGTAGACTTTTACTTTCCAGTTGCTGGTGGGGTTGCAAGGTAAAGGAGACTTTGCAGGTGACAAGATGAGCACTTATTAAAGATATCTGCTCCAATCGCACATTCTAAAATGTGGTTCTAGAATTTTATAGGTAACTTTAGAATACTATTCACACTGAAAACCAAAACTGTACCTGGGCTGGGAAGCTAAAGATGTGGTTTATATGAGGAAGATATTGTCAGATAAGCAAGCTTATAAATTGTGTGCTGATTGCAAAACTACTGGCCACTTGAAATAGGAGAAACATCTCCATTGTGCAAAGAAGGAGGAACAGATGTTTTAATGTAGTTCTAGAGATAACAGGATCTAGTGCCTTTTAATCATATTTAGTATCTAATGCAATGAGTGGTAAAAAAAAATGCTCTCCTAATGGAGTGGTGCTGTAAATGTAAGTTATCGTGTGTATAAGAATCTTAAACTTTGAGGGGAAAAAAAGGCATCCTATAATTTAAGGCATTATTGTTATTATAATCTGATGATAGGCATTATTGTTATTATAATCTGATGAGAGGTTTGTTCCATTGTTGTTTTTCTTAAAATACTTCCATTTCTGGGAAAAGACCAGACCTTGTTAAAATATCTAGTAAACGTTTTGAATAAACAGTGCAATAACTGCTATATACAATGCTGAATTTAATTTAGTCCCTGTTCAGTAAGTTTGGAATATATTGCAAACAGGCATTCTGTGGACAATCAAGGTGAGTGTATTAAAAGATAAGTGAAAATATGGCAGGAAAATCAGTCAACTCTTATGCTTTTCGTACTTACATAAAACTTTAAAAGTGAGCCTTCAAAACTTTAATGATTACTGGTTAAATTCTATAAAAATAGAATAGAAAAGTTATGGACATTATAATAATTTTAAATTTCTTTAAACAGAGGACCTTTCCCCTAAAGTCATATTTCCTTTTAGTTGCCAGATCACAATCCCACCTGGATGGAATAAATAAATTTTATAGAATCAGAGAAGAAGAAAGTATCTTATGTGATTATCTAGTTAATCTACCATTCTACAGATATCACCTAAAGAACAAACTGAAACCAATCCAAAAAGATGAAAAGCCATTCTTGAATTTCCCTTAATTTCATTTAGTATTGTATTCTAGAATTTGAGAAACATTTCAGCAAGAAAATTTTCTTATGGCTAACCTTGGATCCTTTGGATAATTAAGCTAATATTTTTTTAATTTTCATTTCATCCAAGATGGAAAACGGCTGTTCAACATCCCCTTTGCTAGCATTTCATGTATATGAGTAGGGTGCATCATCCTTCATGCAGTCTTTTCTTCCCCAGCTCTTTTTACTTTTAGAACTTTTAAAAATTGTGGTTAAATACATATAACATAAAATATACTATTTTAACCATTTTAAATGTATAGTTCTGTGGCATTAAGCACATTTACATTGTTGCATAACTGTTACCACCATCAGTTTCCAGGACTTTTCATCTCTTCCAACTGAAACTCTGTACCCATTAAAATATAACTCTCCATTTTCCTCTTCCACCAACCCCTGGCAACCACAATTCTACTTCCTGTCTCTATGAATTTCACCATTCTAGGTACATCATATAAGTGAAATCATGCAATATTTGTCCTTTTTTCTGGCTTATTTTATTCACCATAATGTTTTTAAGGTTCATCCATGTTGTAGCATGTATCAAAATGTCCTTCCTTTTTAAGGCTGAATACTATTCATTGTATGTATATACCAAATTTTCTTTATCCATTCATCCTTCAATGGACACTTGGGTTGCTCCACCTTTTGGCTACTGTGAACAATGCTGCTATGAACACTGGTGTACAAGTATCTGAGCCCCCACTTTCAATACTTTTGGGCATATAACCGGAAGTGGAATCCCTGGATTACATAGTATTTCTGTGTTTAATTTTTTGAGGAACTGATATATAATTTTCCACAGCAACTAACAGCTCTTTTAAAAATTATAGTCATTATATTCTTGTCTAGTATTTAATCAATTTATTTACTGAATCATTTACTTCCCAGAGTATTCAATGTTCGTCTTACATTGTGGTACCTCAAACAAGAAATCACACGCAAGCCTGTTCTGCCCTGAAGGATTAGATGTGATTTCTCCATTCTTATGTTCTGTCTTCATTTACATGCACATAGGTTCTGTCCTTGTTTTAAAAAAAGCATTCAACCATAATTTTGTCTTTTTGTGAAATAAAATCATCCCCATCGTCCACCTATAATTCATATTTAAACTCACCTTAATGCTCTTAATGCTAAGCAATAACCCTTCTACTTCATACCTCAATTGGGAATTAGAAAACATATAATTAGCTCAGTGTTTGTAAACACCAACCTTCATGCAATTATGTGTGTGAGCAAATGTGCATGTGTGTCTATACTCTTTCAATAAATATGTTCTTCCTCTGAAGTACTACTGAATAGTTACATATAAATTTTCATATCATCCACAACAGGAACCACAATGGGTGCTAGAATATCCTTAAATGCTTATTATTGGAACATATATGACTCTGATTTCCAAAATCTGGCTATGGGTTCACTAAGGCTAATGTGAAATGAAAAGTATTGCCTGGCTTTCAGGAGCATGGTATCTATTCCCAGGGAAAAGTTAAGTCATAAATCTCATGAATGCCTACAATCAAAATGCTGGGGGAAAACTTACCATTCTTAAACTGTACCATTCTTACTTTGAATCACACTCTATTGCCTTGTAAAGTTTAGGATTTGACTCCATTATCATTGTTCAGTTAATATTGTCATCCTTTTTCCTAAGCATGACTGAACTTGCATCTGCTTAATATTTAAGGGAGTACGTTTTTCTCCCATTTTAGTGGAGAATACTCTGTTGTAGCCATCCTCTATGAACTTAAGGGTCATCAATCTCAAAACAAGATAGTTTTCTGTTGACAATTACCTATTTGATGCCTTTGATACTGTTTGTCTATTAACTCATTAACATAATATCTTAGAAATTAAAGACTAAAACACATTTTTGTTATATCTTGATTTCATTTTTTCACAGTTAATACATTGGAAGTGAAATGTCTTATACATCTTTTTTATAACTTGGTGGGAGATGTAACAGAGCGGCAAAGTGTGGTCATTGGACTGGATCGTAATGCATTTCGAAACATATTGCATGTGACATTTGGAATGACAGATGACATGATTATGGACAGAGGTAAGAAGACATACAATATTCAAATGGGCCAAATCCAGCCATAAATGAAAAAAAAAATTTGGAGTTTGGAACTACTCCTGGTAAGAAGCTTAATGTTCTGTATTCCCAATTTCACTTGAATATAAAATTTTAATTTTTATATTTAAGGGAAGGATCATAGAGAAAAGAGATAGTATCCACTCTATTTTGTGTATTTAAGAAGAGGATAAAGTCAGCTTGGATAATTAGGTTTCCCTTAATTATATCAGAAAACCCAAAATATTTCTATTTTTACTTAGTAAATGTAATAATGAAAAGAATAGTTTTAAAAGGGCATTTAAGTTTCCTTACAACTTCAGAAGTATATCAATAAAATTAAGATATAGTTCTATCACTTAATAACATTACTTTTCTTGAATAACAAAAATATAAAATTAACATTGGAGCACATATAGCCGATGTTCATTGCAGCTTTATTTATGTTAGCTGACACATAGAAACAACCAAAGTGTCCTTTGATAGATGATTGGATAAAGAAGATGTGAGATATATATATAAATGTATACACACACACACACACACACACACACAATGGAATACTTTTCTGCCATAAAAAAAGATAAAATAGTGCCATTTACGACAACATGGATGGATTTTGAGATCATTATGCTAATTGAAATAAATCAGACAGAAAAAGTCGTGAACCAAATGATTTCACTGACATGTGGAATATAAAACAGAAAACAACAAAGGAAAAAGACAAACAGGTGAAGAAACAAAAACTCATAGACACAGACAATAGTTTAGTGGTTACCAGAGGGTAAGGGGGTGGGGCATGGTAGATAAGGGTAAACAGCATCAAATATATGGTGATGGAAGGAGAACTGACTCTGGGTAGTGAATACACAGTGTGATATAGAGATGATGTATTACAGAACTGTACATCTGAAACCTATGTAACTTTACTAACCATTGTCACCCCAATAAACTTTAACTTAAAAAATATATAAAATTATATATTTCATGTTAATATATCAATGTATTTAATATACCAATATATTTACATGTTAGTAAGTATTGAGCAATATGTTTAGATAATCAGAATTTTCTGTTCCCACAGTATATGAAGGGAAAATATAAAAGTTTAAAGAAAAGACTTTTCCAATGTTATGATGTCTTAGTTTACTCTTTTGTCAAATGAGAATGTTGGATGATATGATCCTGAAGTTTTGTTGAAATTTTAAAAGCGAGTAGTACCAATGTAGATACATTACTGAGAATAAAAATGCAACACGTGTTATAATTTACTTCTCTCTCTCTTTTTAGTATTCCGAGGTTTTGATAAAGATAATGACGGCTGTGTAAATGTATCAGAATGGATTTATGGGTTATCCCTGTTCCTTCGAGGAACTTTGGAAGAAAAAATGAAATGTAAGATTTAAGGTTATCCTATCAGTTTGTACATTATAATAAACATATCTAAGGAATCTAAATCAATGTCCTCAAACCCAGCCATTCAAGTAGGTTGTCTGTTGGTTGGTTGGTTTGAATCCCCATTAACCTCTTCTATGGAGCAAATTCAGGTCAATGATAAGGGTTGAAATCATTAATGAAAACGGAATTCAAGAGATTTTAAAGAGTAATTCATGCCAAAAAAGACTACATAGTCATATACGACACATGCTAATTATGTACATATGAATTTATGTATTAAGGTATCAAGTAATTTACTTATTTCATTACTTGAATTATAAACATAAAAGTAGAGAACATTGATTCAAGTGTTTAGATTCTTAATTCTTATTTCTGATGAACTCTGTTTAAGAGTCATATTTCAATCAGTTTACCAAGTTTCAAGATGAAAATGTTTTAAGTTATTATTTCTTGGCATGCTTTTCCATTGCTGAATGTAATGAAACTTTTTCTAAGGGTTGTTGAATATATTCAACAAGTGTACATTAAGCATTTATTATGGAAATTAGATTGTACAAAAGCCTGCAGGATTCATAAGAGCATCAACAATATAGACCTTGGCCTTGAAAACTTTGTCAGAACAAATGTTACCTTAACAATAGTATCAAATTCATAATTGGCTATTTTTTTAAAAGATTGCTTTGAAGTTTTTGATTTGAATGGTGATGGATTCATTTCAAAGGAGGAAATGTTCCACATGTTGAAGAACAGCCTTCTCAAACAGCCATCTGAAGAAGACCCTGATGCAGGAATTAAAGCTTTGGTTGAGATAACACTTAAGAAAATGGTAAATATGGGTAATTTAGAGTTTTATATTAAAATTTACAGGCCAGACGTGGGATAGAAATAAGAATCCAAATTATAGTAGCTATCACTTTTCTGCTTGGTGAATCAAACACTTGAATTGTGCTTTTTTTATTAGTTTCAGGTGTACAAAACAACATAGGGATTAGACATTTACACCCCTCACAAAGTGATAACCCCAACAAGACTCCTACCCATCTGACAACGTACACAGCTATTACAATACCATTGACTATATTCCCTATGTTGTACTTACCTCCCGTGAGAGTGTGTGTGTGTGTGTGTATATACCGGATATGTGTGTATATGTGTGTGTGTGTGTGTGTGTGTGTGTGTGTGTGTATGAGGTCTGATCGTTACATTCACTAACTCATCCTAGAAAAAGTGCTACATACCTCATTGCTGAATATCACTACGGTCTCCTTCAAAGTACTCCCCTTGGGAAGCTATGCACTGATGCCAGCACCTAGTCCACTCTTCAAAGCAATTTTGGAACTCTTTCTGGAATGACCATCAGAGCTGTCGTTGTATACCCTTGATGTCCTGAATGTCAGCAAAATGTCTTCTATTCAATATTTCCTTTATCTTTAGGTAAAGAAAGAAGTCACAGGGGGCTAGATCAGGTGAGTAGGGAGGGCGTTCCAATACAGTTATTTGTCTGTCCCTCACAGACAGCGCTGTGTAAGTTGGTGTGTTGTCGTGATGCAAGAGCCATGAATTGTTGGCGAAAATTTCAGGTCGTTTTCTTCTAATTATTCATGCGGCCTTTTCAGCACTTCCAAATAGTAAACTTGGTTAACTGTTTGTCCAGTTGGTACCAATTCATAATGAATAATCCCTCTTATATCAGAAAAGTTTAGCAACATCATTGCAACAAGTTTGCAAACTTAATTGTGAGACCTTGTGTGTGTGTATGTATATATACATATATATTTTTTATATATAATTTAATATTTTGTATGACATATAACATTTAATATTATTTTATATTTCCAGTTGAACAGCACAGTGGTTAAGCATTCATTTTATATATATATATATATATATATATATATATATATATAAATTATATTTATTTCCCCAATAAATCTTGTATCCATTTGACACTGCACATAGTTTTTACATTATTGACTATGTTCCCCATACTGTATTTCATATCCCTGTGACTATTTTTTAACTATCAATTTGTACTTCCTAATCCCTTCACCTTTTTCACCCATCCCCCTAATGCCCCTCCCATCTAGCAACCATCAATTTGTTCTCTGTATCTTTGAGTCTATTTCTGGTTTTGTGTGTTCATTTGTTCTGTTCTTTAGATTCTCACTTTAGAATATAAGTGAGATCATATGGTACCTGTATTTCTCAGTGTAACTTACTTCACTTAGCATAATATCTTCTGGGTCCATCCATGTTGTTGCAAATGGTAAGATCTCATTATTTTTCATGGCAGAGTAATACTCCATTATATATATGTACTACAATTTCTTGATCCAGTCCTCTGTTGATGGGTATTTCAGTTGTTTTCATATCTTGGCTATTGTGATCAGTGGTGCAGTAAACTTGGGGGTGCACATATGTTTTTGAATTAGTGTTTTACATTTCTTTGGATAAATACCCAAGAGTGGAATTGCTGGGCCATAAGGTAGTTCTATCTTCAATTGTTTTATGAACCTCCCCACTATTTTCCATAGTAGCTGTACCAATTTGTAGTCCTACCAACAGTGCATAAGGGTTCACTTCTCCACATCTTCACCAACACTTGTTTGTTGACTTATTAATGATAGCTATTCTGACAGGAGTGAAGTGATATCTCATTGTGGTTTTTATTTGTATTTCTCTGATGATTAGAGACATTGAGCATCTTTTTGTATGTCTGTTGGCCATCTGTATGTCCTCTGTGGAGAAATGTCTACTCAAATCCTCTGCCCATTTTTTAATTACATTGTTTGTTACTTTTGGGGTTGAGTTGTATGAGTTTTTAAAATAAATTTTGGATATTAACCTTGTATCAGATGTATCATTGGCAAATATCTTCTCCCATTCAGTAGGATGTCTTTCCCTTTTGTTGATGTTTTCCTTTTTGGTGCAAAAACTTTTTAGTTTGATGTAGTCCTATTTATTTATTTTTTCTTTTGTTTCCTTTGCCTGAGGAGATATGTAGGTAAAAATATTAATAATGGTAATGTCTGAGAGTTTACTTCCTATATTTTCTTCTAGGAGTTTTATGGTTTCAGGCCTTACATTTAAGTCTCTAATCCATTTTGAGTTTATTCTTGTATATGGCTTAAAAAGATGGTCCAGTTTCATTTTTTTGCATGTAACTGTCGAGTTTTCCCAGCACCATTATTGACCAGACTGTCTTTACCCCAGTGTAAATTCTTGCTTCCTTTGTCATAGATTAACTGACCATATAGGCATGGATTTATTTCTGGGCTTTCTATTCTATTCCATTAATCTGTGTGTCTGTCTTTATGCCAATAATATTTTCTTTTGATTACTGTGGCCTTGTAGTATAATATATCAGGTAGCATGATACCCCCCAGCTTTGTTTTACGTTCTCAAGTTCTCCATGGTCATTTGGGTTTTTTTATAGTTCCATGTAAATTTTAGGATTATTTGTTCTAGTTCTGTGAAAAATGCCATTTGTAATTTGATAGGGATTGCATTGAATCTATATATTGCTTTCTGTAGTATAGACATTTTAACTATATCAGTTCTTTATATTCATGAGTATGGTATATGTTTTCATTTATTTGTATCTTCTTTAATTTTTCTCTTCAATGTCTTATAATTTTCTGAGTACAGGTCTTTTACTTCCTTGGTTAAATTTATTCCTAAATATTTTATGTTTTTTGATGCAATTGTAAATGGGATTGCTTTCTTAATTCCCCTTTCTGATAGTTTGTTATTGGTGTATAAAAATGCAACCAATTCCTGAATATTAGTTTTGTATCCTGCTACTTTACTAAAATCATTCATTAGTTCTAATTGTTTTTGGTGGAATCTTTGGGGTTCTTTATATATAGTAACATGTCATCTACAAACAATGACAATTCTACTTCTTTTTTTCCTATTTGGATGCCTTTTATTTTATTTTATTTTTCCTGTCTGATTGCTGTGGCTAGAACTTCTAGCACCATGTTGAATAAAAGTGGTGAACATGGGCATCCTTGTGTTGTTCATGATGTTAAGAGGAATGCTTTTTAGTTTTTCCCCTTTGAGTATAATATTAGCTGTGGGTTTGTCATATATAGCCTTTATTACATTGAGCTATGTTCCCTCTATTCCCTCTTTGCTGAGAGTTTTTATCATAAATTGATGTGGGAATTAGATGCTTTTTCTGCATCTATTGATATGACCATTTGATTTTTATTTTTCATTTTGCTTATGTGATGTATATGTTAATTGATTTACAGATATTGAACCAACCTTGCATAACAGGAATAAATCCCAATTGATTGTGGTATATGATATTTTTAATATATTGCTGAATTTGGTTTGCTAATATTTTGTTGAGGATTTTTGCATCTGTGTTTATCAGGGACTTTGGCCTTTAGTTTCCTTTTTTTGTAATATCTTTGTCTGGTTTTGGACTCAGGGTAGTGGTTACCTTTTAAAATTATTATGAGATGCTTCCCTCCTCTTGGATTTTTTGGAATAGTTTGAGGAGAATAGGTGTTAATTCTTTTTTGAACATTTGGTAAAATTCACCTGTGAAGCCATCTGGTCTAGGACTTTTGTTTATTGGGAGATTGTTGACTACTGATTCAATTTTGTTGGTAGTAATCAGTCTGTTCAGACTTCCTGTTTTTTTCTGGGTTTAGCCTTGGAAGATTGTATGCTTGTAAGAATATATCCATTTCTTCTAGATTGTCCAATTTGTTGAAGTATAGTTGCCCATGGTTTGAAAAAAAATTTTTTTCTCAAATTTTTTTTGTAATTCTGTGGTGTCTGTTGTCACTTCTCTTTCATTTCTGATTGTATTTATTTCTGTCCTCTCCCTTTTTTTTCTTGATGAATCCGATATGAATTTTGTTTACCTTTTCAAAAAACCAGCTCTTGGTTTCATTGATTTTTTTGTATTGCTTTTTTAGTTTCTATTTTGTTTATTTCTGCTCTGATCTTTATTAATTCCTTCCTTATACTCACTTTGGGCTTTGTTTACTGTTATTTTACCTGTTGCCTTAGGTGTAAAGTTAGATTTTTTTATTTGAGATTTTTCTTCTTTCTATATTTAGGTCTCGTTGCTATGAATTTCCCTCTTAGGACTCCTTTCACTGTGTCCAATAGATTTTGGGTAGGTGTGCTTTGATTTTCATTTGTTTCAAGGAAGCTTTTGATTTCTTGATCTCATTATTGACACATTCATTATTTAATAGCATGTTATTTAGCCTCCATGTAATTGTGTGTTTCTCATTTTTTGTTATTGTTCTGTTGATTTCTAGTTTCTTACTATTGTGGTAAGAGAAGATGCTTGATATGGTTTAAGTCTTCTTAAATTTATTGAGAATTGTTTTGTGGACTAACATGTAGTCTATCTTGCAAAATATTCCATGTATACTTGAACAGAATGTATAGTTTGCTGCTTTGGGGTGACATGCTCTAAAAGTATTAATTAAATCCATCTAGTCTAGTGTGTCCTTTAAGGCCGCTCTTTCTGTGTTGATTTTCTGTCTGGAAGATCTTTCCATTGGTGTCAGTGAGGAGTTAAAATCGCTTATTATGATTGTGTTACCATTGATCTCTGTCTGTATGTCAGTCAGTAGTTGCTTTGTATATTTAGATGCGCCTATGGTGGGTGCATAAATGTTTACAAGGGTGATGTCCTCTTGTTGGATCGATCCTTTTATTATTATGTAATGTCCTTCTTTGTCTCTTATTATAATCTTCATTTTAAAGTCCATTTTCTCTGATAAATGTTTTGCTATCCCAGCTTTTTTCTCATTTCCATTTGCATGAAATATCTTTTTCCATCCCTATACTTTCAGTGTGTGTCTTTTTTTATTATTATTAGTTTCAGGTGTACAAAACAATGCAATATTTATCCTCTTCACCCCTCACAAAGTGACAACCACCCTCCCCCCATTCACTGCCCCCCCACTCCCGATATCATACATATCTATTACAATTCCATTGAGTCCATTCCCACACTATACTCCACATCCCATGACTATATATGTATTAAATTATAGTTGACATATATTATTCAATGGCAGATTCAGATGTACAGTGCAGTGGTCAGGCCTCATGAGGTGATTAAGAAACTGTGGTACATTTACACAATGGAGTATTACTCAGCTATAAAGAAGAATGAAATCATACCACTTGCAATGATATGGATGGGCCTAGCGAACATTATGCTAAGTGAAATAAGTCAGTCAGAGAAAAATAAATACCATATGGTCTCATTTATATGTGGAATCTAAAGAACTGAATAAACGACCAATGTTGACAGTCTCAGAGACACAGAGGAAAAATTGATGAATGCTAGATGGGACGGGGCTGGGGATGAGGGAGAAGGGGAAGGGATGAGACAACATAAATTGGTAACTACAATATTGCCTCAGGGATAGAAAAGACAGTTTGGGGAATATAATCAATAATGTTGTAAATACTTTTTAGGGAGCCAGATGGACTCATGTTTTTTTAGGGACTGTATGTGTCTTTTGATCTGAGGTTGGTCTCTTGTAGACAGAGCATGCATGGGTCTTGTTTTTGTATCCATTCAGTTACCCTATATCTTTCTTTTGGAGCATTTAATACATTTACATTTAAAGTAATTATTGATAGGTGCATAGCCATTGCCATTTTATTATTCATATTTTTTATCTTCATTTGTTTTCTCCTTTTTGCTGCTTAAAGGAGTCCTTTTAACCTTTCTTGTAATACTGGCTTGGTGATAATGAATTCCTCTAGCTTTTACTTGTCTGGAAAGCTCTTTATCTATTTTTTAATTTTAAATGATAGCTGGGTAGAGTAGTCTTGGTTGTAGGCCCTATTTCATTGCATTGAATACTTCCTGCCATTCCATTCTGGCCTGAAAAGTTTCTGTTGAGAAATCCCCTGATATTCTTATGGGAGCTCCCTTGTAATGAACTAGTTGCCTTTCCCTTGCTGTTTTTGGGATTCCCTTGCTGTCTTTAACCTTTGCCATTTTATTTATGATGTGTCTTGGTGTGGGCCTGTTTGCTTTCATTTTATTTGGAACTCTGCATTTCCTGGTCCTGTATGTCTATTTCCTTCACCAGGTTATGGAATTTTTCAGTCATTATTTCTTCAAATAGGTTCTTGATCCCTTGCTCCCTCTCTTCTCCTTCTGGTGCTCCAATGATGCAAATGTTTTTATGCTTCATGTTGTCCCACAAGTTCCTTACACTATCTTCATTATTTTTATTCTTTTTTTTCTTTTTGTTTCTCTGATATGCTGTTTTCTGCTACCTTGTCTTCTAAATCACTGATTCGATCCTCTGCTTCCTGTAATCTGCCATTGATTCCTTCTACTGTATTCTTCATTTCCATTATTGTGTTCTTTATTTCTGACTGGTTCTTTTTTGTGGTCTGTGTTCTTCTTTATGCTTATTATCTCCTTGTTGAAATTCTTACTAAGTTCCTTAAGCATTCTTACAACCAGTATTTTAAACTCTATCTCTGGTAGGTTGATTGCCTCCATTTCATATCATTCTATTTCTGGAGTTTTTTCCTTTTGTTTTATTTGTGATGTGTTTCTTTGTTTCCTCATTCTGGCTGCCTCTCTGTGTATGCTTCTATATTAGAAAGATCCTATGTCTCTCAGTCTTTGCTGGGTGGCCTATGTAGTATCTGTGCTATGTGGTCCAGTGGCACAGTCTCCCTGATCTCCTGCACATGTGTTCCAGGAGTGTCCTTTAAGGGTCCTCTCCTGTTGTAGTTAAGCCTTGATTGCTTTTCACATATCAGTAGGTGGGATTGACTCCCAGGCTGACTGACTATGAGGATTGACTATGACCACAGTGTATGAGCTCCTGTGGAGGGCTGACCCTTCAGAGGATGATTCGCCCCTGTGGGCTCTTGTGACTCTTGAGACCACCCTTTTGGGTAGAGGCCTGGTGTGGTCTGAAGCTGGCCTCTAGGTGTATTGTTTCTGGGAGGGGTTCTTGTGAAGGCCAATTTCAGCCTTGCTTGTGACTGGCCCATGGCTACCTGGTAGGAGCCACAAACCTATATGTGGTTGGCTGCTGCCTATTCTGGACATAGAGTATGTGGGGGTGGTCTCACTGTGAACCAAGGCTGTCTGCCACCAGTATTGGTCCTGAGGCAGCTTAGTAAAAGGTGCATGGTCCCCTAGACCTATTGTCACCTTCTGACTGCCTGTAAGCCTCAGTATTTTAAAGAGCTTCCTTAGTTGTGTTAACCTGGCTGGTTGACCAGTTGTTTAGAGTGCCCTCAGCAATGCAGAAGTAGCTGTGTGAAGCAGGAATCCAGGAGTCATAAGACGTGGTTGGTGGTTTTTACAAAGTTAATGCAGATTCAGTTCTTGTGCCAGTGCCTGGCCTATGCCCGCTCTATAATGTGCCCTGAGAACACTGGAGTCAGCCACCATTCACCTCAAGCTCACAAATCCCTGAAAGCTTCCCAAGAGAGGCTGCAGCACAGGTTTTGGGTCACTGTCCAATGCCAAAAGTACCATGGGCTGCTGTGGGCCACCCACTGCTATAAAAGTCTTCTGCAACTTGCGGGGTGGGGCCAGCTACACAGGCATGGAAGTGCCCCTGGCACTAGATGGGTGGGACAGGGCATGACACAGTTCCATGGAGCCTAAGGGGTGTGGGTGGTAATTTTTACAAAGTTATGAAAGTTTTGGTTTATGCACCAGTGCCAGGTCCATGACCACTTTGCAAAAAATGCCCTGAGAACATGGCAGAGAGCAGTGGCTCACAGATCCCTGTGAGCTCCCCAGTTGAGGCTGCAGTACAGGTTTTAGGTTACTGACCAACACCAAAAGTTCCTTGGGCTGCCATGACCATCCACTGCTGTAAAAATCTTATACAGTTTGCAGGGCAGGCAGAGCCACTCAGTAGTCAAGCGCGTCCCAGGTGATGCAGTACTAGCTGTGTGGGGTGGGGATCCAGGGCGTCACTAAAGTGGTACACAGGCAGATTTTACCAGACCAATGCAATCTCAGATTAGGCCCTTTGGGGGAGAGCTCAACATAGAGAAGATGGCGCCCTCCTGTAGGCTATATGTGATTGAGGCTCCACACAGGGATAATGGCTCCTGTCCCTCCAGCCCTAGCCTCTAGGCCACACCACTTTCTTTCTCCATATGTCTCTGGTGTCTCTCCAGTCACCACCTCTCCATGAGAGACTGGGTGAGTGTTTGTAAGCAAGTGATTCTGTGTGCAGGCTCTTTAACAGGGTGTCTCGGTTTCCAGCCACCGTCTGTCTCACAAACAGACTCCACACTGATTTTCACTGCCAGATGTTATGGGAACTCCTCTTCCCGGCACAGGACTCCTAGGCTGGGGAGCCTTATGTGGGGCTGGGACCCCTCCCTCTTCAGGGGGGACCTCAGTCACCAAAGTGTTCCTCCCAGTGTTCCTCCCAATGTTCAACTACTATCTGTGGGTTAGGGGTCAGCCCATTTCACATCTCTGCCCCTCGTTCTGGTCTCGATGTGGTTTCTTTTTTATATCCTTAGTAATAGAGGTTCTGTTCAGCTAGTCTTCAGATGATTCTTGAGGTTGATTGTTCTATAGTTTATGTGTAATTTTCATGTGATCCTGGGATGCAGTAGGCATAGTATTTACCTAATCTGCCATCTTGGACCCCTCCAGTCCCCCGAATTGTGTTCTTTTATTATAATATTATCATTTTTAAACTTCATTATTTAGTCTCTTATTTTTCTAATATTTTTCTTTTATTAACACTTGACCATGAAAAGACAGTTGTGTTTGTGATAAGTATCTTACAAGTTGTCTGACACATGGCTGGTCACCCCTAGGATCATGATCATGATGGGAAGCTCTCCTTCTCAGACTATGAACGATCTGTAAGAGAAGAGACTCTTTTACTGGAAGCTTTTGGACCATGCCTACCTGATCCAAAGGTAATGAAAGATATTACTTTCACTGAACACTGACCAAAATATAATGTAGGATCAACAATCCAGGACTTCTTGGTTCAGTGAGTGATGGATCAGATGAATCACATTCACCCAAAGAGAATAGCTTCTAAGTAGAGAAAGCCCACTGTAGAAGAACCTGATGGTTTATTTTATAGTACTATTGTAGTCAATGCTGTTTTTTTTCATTTATTAACTCATTCATTGATGTAAGAAACAATTACTGAAACTTAATGTGTGCCAGAGGACAGATGAAAGGCTCAGTGGAAGCACTCAAAGGCTTACATTTTCCTGGGAAAAACCAACATTAAAATAAATACTGAGCAGTGTGATAAGTATTATTATAATAATAGTTAATGACTTGTACAGTGCTTCATCTATACCAAGCAATGTCATAAGCACTATGCCCCACATCATCTTATTTAATCCCCCTAACAACCCTATGAAGTAGGTATTGGGTTGTTGGGAAAGTCATGACACATTTTTGCAAGGAAAAACAGAAAAAAATATGTCATGGATTTTCCGACAACCCAATAGTATTATTACCCATATTTTATAGATGATGAAATGAGGCTTGGGAGAGCTTAGGCAATTTGTCCAAGTTCATGCATCATATGGAGTACCATGGGTATCCTGGTGTTAAAGTCCATAGATATGTGCATAGAGTATTGTGGTAGTCACAAAGAGGGTATCTAAACTAGCTGTATGGAATGACTGCTGAATGGCTGGTGGGGCATGGAGGGCTTACCTGTGTTTTTAAGAACACAATAGTCAGGTCAATATGGGAAGAGTGATCTAAGCAAAGGGAATGAGAGAGAGAGAGAGAGAGAGAGAGAGAGAGAGAGAG